CACCTCCCCAGGCCTTTCCTGGGGCTCACCCGCTCTCTTTTCTGGGGCTGACCTCACCTCCCCAGGCCTCTCCTGGGGCTGACACTCTCTCCCCAGGCCTGGCCCAGGGCTGACTCTCTGTCCCCTCTCCCAGGATGCCTTCGCTGGCATTGAGGATGATGCAGATGAGGAGCTGGAGCTGGGGCAGGCACAGGTGCTGGCAGARAGGCAGCGCGAGGCTCAGAGAGGTGAGGGGACACCAAGGGACAGTGCCACAGCCCAGGCTGGGGCTCTGGGACTTGTCACGGTGGGGATGCTGCCTTGAGCTGCAGCCTGGAACGRTTTGGGTTGGAAAGAGCCTCAAACACCGTCCAATTCCAACCCTTCCATGGGCAGGGACACCTCCCTCTGGAGCAGAGGCTGTTCCCAGCCTGAGTCATTAATGAGCTGTCATTAGCGCTGTGTTAATGAGCAGGGTCTGTAGAGGAGGGGTCTGCAGCAGGGTCTGCCTGGGCCCCTCTCACCCAGCAGTTCCCATTCCCAGATAAAATAACAAAGAAGGGGCAGAAGAAGAAGAAGAAGGAGGAGGAGGAGGAGGAGGAGGAGGGCCAGGAGGAGGAGGGCCAGGAGGAGGCTCCAGCCGAGGCCCCCGCTGCAGCAGCCACAGCCCCCACTGCCGATGAGGCCCGGGAGGAGCAGAGCAGTGACGATGACAGCAGCAGTGAGGATGAGAGGTGAGGCCTGAGGGGCTCTGGGTGCCCTCCCCAGCTCGGTGGTGCCACAGAGCTGAGAGGAGACAGCCCATCCCTGTTTGCTGCTCTCCACAGGCCCCTGGCAGCGGTGGGGAGGAAGCAGGGCCGTGTGGAGCCCTGTGGCTTCGAGGTGGTGCCCATTGAAAAACCGGGTGAGTGGGGGGCAGGGGAGTGCCTTGGGAGGGACAGGGGGCAGGGACACACCCGAGAGTCACTCAGGAGGGACAGGGACACACCCGAGAGTCACTCAGGAGGGAAAGGGACACACCTGGGAGTCCCTGTGGGGGGACAGGGGGCAGGAGCAGGCCCAGGAGTCTCTTTGGAGATACAGGAGATGGGGGCACGGGCAGGCTGTGCTTCCCCAGGTGTTCCCTGGAGTGTTCCTTGCAGTGTTCCCTGGGGTGTTACTGGTCCCCTGGATGTTCCTTGCACCCTGGGGTGTTCCCTGGGGTGTTCCCTGATCCATGGGGTATTCCCCAGGGTGCTCCCTGCTCCCTGGGGTGTTCCCTGGGGTGTTCCCTGCTCCCTGGGGTGTTCCCTGGGGTATTCCCTGCTCCCTGGGGTGTTCCCTTCTCCCTGGGGTGCTCCATGGGGTGCTCCCTTCTCCCTGGGATGTTCCCTGGGGTGTTCCCTGCTCCCTGCAGTGTTCCCTGGGGTGTTCCCTGGGGTGCTCCCTTCTCCCTGGGATGTTCCCTGGGGTGTTCCCTGCTCCCTGGGATGTTCCCTGGGTGTTCCCTGCTCCCTGCAGTGTTCCCTGGGGTGTTCCCTGGGGTGCTCCCTTCTCCCTGGGGTGTTCCTTGGGGTGCTCCCTGCTCCCTGGGATGTTCCCTGCTCCCTGGGGTGCTCCCTTGTCCCTGGGATGTTCCCTGGGGTGTTCCCCAGGGTGCTCCCTGGGTCTGGGGCCACAGCCAGGTCAAGCTCTCCCTTGTCCCCCAGTGAAAAGGGCCCTGGACGCAGAGGGCCTGGCCCTGGGCTCAGTCATCGCCACCTCCAAGAAGGCCCGGCGCGACCTCATCGACGACTCCTTCAACCGGTACGGGGCTGGGGGGGTGATCCTAAAACAGGGAGAATAWAAAGCAGRCAAATTTAATGAATTTAAATTGARTTRAACACTGRGGGCAGACAAAAGCCTCCTCATAAGGCTACRCCCAAAATGGATCATGAGACRCGAGAAGTTCACCTTTTATAAGTTCTGTGCTTTTAACATATCGAGCCCCAGTTCTCCAGTGACACCTTCAGGTGATGRTGTCACCCACCCCAAGCTCRCTCYCCCCAATTCCACTKTKKTTCCGTATTTYGGGGCTCYGRGGCAGTGAGGTGTCAYTGAGAATCAAAAACCCTGAGGTATCAAGGGTGCAGAGTTCATTTGCCTGCTCTCCTGAGCTCACCTGAGCCCCYCAGGTACTCATACAACGAGGAGGAGGGGGAGCTGCCCGAGTGGTTCACGGAGGAGGAGCGGCAGCACCGGCGCCGGCAGCTGCCCGTGGACAAGCAGACGGTGGAGGCGTATCGGCAGCGCTGGCGTGAGATCAACGCCCGCCCCATCAAGAAGGTGGCGGAGGCCAAGGCCCGCAAGAAGAGGAGGGTGAGTGGGGGAAGGGCTCCCCGGGGTGCTCTGATCCCCTCCCAGGGGCTCTGCCCTTCCTTCAAGCCCCCTGTCCCTCTCCAACCTCCCTGTATCGCCTTTGATCCTCCTGTGCCCCCTTTGATCCTCCTGTGCCTCTTCCAATCCCCTGTTCTTGCTCTGACCCTGTTCCTCCTCCAATCCCCTGTCCCATCTCTGATCCCCTGTCCTTCCTCCAACCTCCCTGTCCCTCCTCTGACCCCCGTTCTTCCTCTGACCTCCCTGTATTCCCTCTGATCCCCTGTCCTTCCCCAACCCCCCGGTCTCTCCTCCAATCCCCCGTCCCATCTCTGATCCCCCCATCCTTTCTCTGACACCCTATCCCTCCTCCAATGTCCCTGTCCCATTTCTGATCCCCCGTCCCATCTGTGGTACCCCTTGTCCCTCCTCTGACCCTCTGTCCCTGCCCTGGCTGTGCYCCAGATGCTGAAGAAGCTGGAGCAGATGAAAAAGAAGGCTGAGGCCGTGGTGAGCACCGTGGACATCTCGGAGCGTGAGAAGGTGGCCCAGCTGCGCCGGTGAGTGGCCAGGGCAGGGTCTGGCTCCTCCCTGGGGGGCTGGGCTGCCTGCTGGGGCTGTGTCCCTGCAGCCACCAGGACAGCTCTGTGTCCCCAGCCAGGCTGATCCGGGGCTGGCACAGCCCGGAGGAGGCACCCAATATTGGGTTTGTGTCCATCCCAACCCCAAASTGCCTGACTGGGAGCGGGTCTGGCTCTGACCTTTGCCCTTCCTCTGCAGCATCTACAAGAAGGCCGGGCTGGCCAAGGAGAAGCGCCAGGTCACCTACCTAGTGGCCAAGAAGGGCGTGGGACCCCGGGTGCGCCGCCCGCCCGGTGTCAAGGGCCAGTTCAAAGTGGTCGACAGCCGCCTCAAGAAGGATGTGAGGGCTCAGAAGCGCAAGGAGCAGAAGAAAAAGCGCCACAAGTGAGGTGGGAGTGGCTCCATCCCCAGCCAGGGACTCTGCTTGGGGCACAGGGCTGGCTCCTGTCCCCCAGTGCCACCTCAGGACCACACCTTGCTCAGTCYGTGCCTTGCTGCGACAGCGCCTCGTGCCCTCCTCTGGGGCAGGGAGAGGTCAGTTGGCTCCTGCTCATGGCCACCGCTCTGGCTGTCACCAGGAGACTCCCCCTGAGGACATCCCAGGAGCAGCCACGGCAGCCCCAGCCGTCCCCGGGCAAGGGGTGGCTCTGAGGGACATCACTGAGCCAGATATATCACTGCCATGGCAGGACAGTGGTGCCTCTGCTCAGACAGAAGAATTGAACCCTGCTCTGGGGCTGTCCAGGGCTGTATCCTGCACCTGGGCCAGGTGAGGGACCCGTGCTGGCCCTGCCATGTGCCCCCGTGCTGTCCCTGCCATGTCCCCTCGTGTGCCGTGAGACAGGTACAGAGSGCACTGGGGGCTGGGGCTGAGCATCTGCTTGTGCCAGGGGAGCCCACTCCCTCAGCCCCCTGGGCTCTGCCCAACAGGGATTGACTCTCCTGACCACCTCCTGTCCCYGCTGTCCCCACCCCTTCCCGGGGTGGGACCCCCACAGTGATGAACAGAAAGACCAAGAGAAAAACAGTGCTTGCCCAAATGTCTTTATTAGGAGCCAGGGCAGGGGCTGCTCCTCTCCAGGAACACCTGAGAGCTCCGTGCTGGGACTGCAGTGTCCCCAAGGCCCTCGTGGTGACACTGGCACTGTGCCAGTGCTGGGGAGGGGGCTGGGGTAACCCTGTGGCTCTCGGAGGGGTGAGGGGTAGTGGGGACCTGCCTGGGGTGTCCCAGCAGGAGGGAGGAGCTGCGGGTCCCCTCCAGGTGCCATGGGGAGGGGACAGGCCAGCGGTGGCACTGCAAAGCCCCTGCACAGGGAGTGGCAGGAGGTGGCCCTGGGCTGTCCCCAGGCAGTCGCTGAGGCCGCTCAGCCCAGTCCAGTGGGTGCAGCAGCCCTGGGTGTCCCTGGGAGCTCTGGGCTGCAGTTCCTGGGGACAGGAACAGCTCTGTCCAGAGGGGCCCTGCTGGGGGCCAGGGCTGCTGGCAGGGGCTAGGGGCCACCCCCTGTCCCCAGGAAGGGTCRGGGCCGTGGTGAGGGGGAGCAGAAMCCCTTGKCCATCGCAGTCCTTGGCTGGGGCAGCGATGGGGCAGGAGCAGGGATGGGCTGCCAGGCTCCAGGCGGGGTCAGATGTTTTCCTTCTCTTCTAAATGGAACACGGGGGTCCTGTGAGAGCCGAGTCCCCACAAACCCCCACTACTGCCCTTGGCTGAGCCCCATCCCTCAGAGCTCAGTGTACCTGAGTGACCCCAAAGCCCTGGCTGGGGAGCTCCAGGGGATCACTGGGGGAAGACCAGGGCTTGTAGGGGGGCTGAGCCCCCTCAGAGTGTCACAGTCCCTCTCTGCCCCCCAGCCTGGACACCTGGGCCCTCCCTGACCTCTGCCCCCAGCTCTGGCCAGCATGTTCCCAACCATGGCTGCAGGACTGTGGGATGGGCTCCTCCATCGCCACTCCCTGCCCTCCTTCCCCCTCCAGGGTGGCTGGGTCCCCATTGGGGTCCCCAGGGTGGGGTGATCCCTGGCCTGGCAGGCTAAGCCCCTACCTGAGCTGGGAGGGGCAGTGTAGGCCACGTCCACACGGTCACCTGAAACAGGAGGGGAGGGGTGCTTACCATGGACCCTGCAGGAGCCGCTCCCTGAACGAGCCCAGGCTCATCAGCATGAGCCAGGAACTCAGCCTGACCCACGGAGCCCCTGGGGCTGCAGGGGTGGCAGCGGGGACAGGGACACGGCCCAGCGGGGCTCACCTGTCTCRTAGTAGTCATACAGGGACACGGTGGCTGGCTGCAGGTTCTTCACCGGGAAGTCCTGCTGGGCTCGCAAGGACAAGGTCACCTCATCCTTGCTCAGCTGTGGGGACAGCACAGGAGGAGCTGCAGCCACCCACCGTGGGCAACCCCCCCTCCAGCCCAGGGCTCCTGTACCCATCTCACCTGCTCCAGGTAAATGGTCACCTGGTCAGGYTGCACCTCCACTTTCTTCACCAGCTTCTGCTCCTTCAGCTGCAGGGACACGGCTCAGCGAGGGCCATGGCTGCTGCCTGGCGCCCAGCACCCCGGGCAGGTGTCCCTGCGAGTCCCACAGCCCCCGAGGGATGGGCTGTCCCAGAGGGGGCCTGGGGGGCTGCTCACCTGCACCACGGATTTCTTGTCCGGGCTGTAGCCCGAGGGCAGCTTGGCCTCGATGACAACCATGTTGGTGGCCGGACGCTCCCCACTGTACCTGCACGGGCAGAGTCCCACAGTGGCCTTGGGGGTCCCCTCCCTGGCTACCCCCGTAACCCTCAAACTCGGGACAGCCCCCTCCCTACCGTGCCCAGAGCCGCAGCAGGAACTGTGGGTTCTGTGTGCCGGGCAGCGGCTCTGTCTGCACCCGGAGCTCCAACACCTTTGCGCCAGGAGGAGGGGGCACATTATAGCGCAGGGTCACCTGGGGGACAGCGCACGGTGAGGCCAGCAAAGGGACAGGGACAGCGCTGGGGACAGGGACAGGGAGCCTGGGCTGTGCCCACCTGCACCAGGGCACAGCCCTGCCCACGGCCTCGCAGCCCGAAGGTGCCCGGCAGCTCAGCCAGCGCCGCCCGCTGCAGCACCAGCCGGTTGCTGCTGTCCAGCACAAAGTCCTGCGCTGTCCCCGAGGGTGATGTCACCGTCACCGTGAAGTCCCCGTTGTTGCCGTGRGTCAGGGTGGCGAATTTGGCCAGGGCTTGCAGGGCCACCACGGTGTCCTGTGCGTGCAGACAGTGCCGGGGTCAGCCCCGGGTGCGGCTCCAGGAGGGGCCGGTTCAGAGCGGCCCCTGTGTCCCAGGGCCGGTACCTGTGTGGAGGCGAAGCCCCCGTGGGGGTTCTGCTGCTTGCAGAGCCAGCGGACAATCCGCGACGCTGTCCCCAGGTCCTCAGGGGACACGGAGGGCTGCGACAGGTAGGCCAGCAGGACATAGGCTGTCATCTCCACCTCAGCCGGCGCGGCCGCAGCCCAGACTGCCTCGGAGGCCTTCACAGCCCGGCCCTTCCTCTGCCAGTAGAGCTGCCCCTCTGGGGGATATGGGGGGACAGCTCAGACCCTGTCCTGGCCATCTGGGACCCCTCCCAGGGGTGGCACTGCCCACAGTTCTGCCCGGGCCGGGTCCCCTCCCCTTGGTGGCACTGCCCACAGCTCCTCCCGGGCCGGGTCTCCTCCTGCTGATGGCACTGCCCCCAGTTCTGTCCGGGCTGGGTCCCCTCCCCTTGGTGGCACTGCCCAAAGTTCTGTCCGGGCTGTACCTGCGCTGGCGCTGTGCTGGGCCAGGCGCTGCAGCTGCTCCCGCTGCCGCTCCCGCAGCCCCGCCAGCCCGAACACGTAGGCCAGCAGCGCTTGGCTGTAGGGCTCGTCTGTGGCTGAAGCCTCCAGGCACTTGAGGGCCGAGCTGACTGCCGGTTCCTGGCGTGGCAGCGGGGTCAGGGGCTGGCCCGGGGCACGGTGCTCTCTCAGAGCCCCCGGTGCCGCCCGGGGACAGCGGCAGTGCCCGGCTCAGGCTGCGGGGTGGCCGGGAATGGCCAATCCCCCATCCCAGCAGCTGTCCTCAGCTYGGCAGCCCCTCTGGGGACACCGGGCCCATCCTCACCTCCTTAGACAGCCCCAGCTCCAGCATCGCTGCTGTCACGTACGCCGAGAGCGACAGCTCGTCTGACACACCACCCTGTCGGGACAGCAGGACACGTGTCCGGCCAGGCCATGACCCCGACACGGGGACACCCCAGTGCCCAGAACACTGCCCGGCTGCCCAGCCCGGCCCTGCCCCACCTGCAGGGCGTTGTTGAAGAGTTTGCCCTCGCTGCGGAAGCAGCCGCTGTCCTTCTGGTGCTGCTGCAGCCAGCGCAACGCGTCTGTGATGTGCCGCTCCTCGATGGCCACGTAGGCTCGGGCCTGCCCGAAGGACTTGAGCACGAACGCCGTCAGCCTGGAGCCAGGACACAGTGGAGGGTCAGCACTGGGCTTCCTGGGCAGCGGGAGCAGCCCTGGGTGCAGCCAGAGCCCTCACCAGGTGTTCCCGCTGGCATCGCTCTTGCCGAAGGCACTGTAGGARCCATCGTCGTGTTTGTAGAGCAGCTCCCGCTGGTACCCTGCAGCAGGATGGGGACACGGGGCACTCCTTCTGTGTCTAAGGGATGCCAGATGGGCCAGGGGCAGCAGGGAGGGCCGATGGGACAGTGGGGTCCCTCTCGGGCAGGGGGTCGGGCTCGCACTGACCACTCTGCAGGAAGCCCTGGGCCTTGGCACGGATGTCCGGCAGCAGCTGCCCACTCTTCTCCAGGTATTGCTGGATGTAGATGTTGGGGGCGAAGCGAACCATGTTCTGCTCACCACAGCCRTAGGGCATAGCCAGGAGACTGTCCAAGTTCTGCAGGGCATTGCCCAGGATGTCACCTGTGCCAGAGGGACACAGCATCAGTGGTGGCCCTGCCACTGGCACCCGTGTCCCTCTCTGTGTCAGCTCCGGCTGCTCCCACATCCTGCAGAGCCTGGGGAGCTCCACACCCACCATGTCCCCGTGGTCGCCAGGGTCCTCCCAGCTGTCCCTTACCCATCACGGTGACGTGGGCTCTCTGGGAGCCCTCCAGGATGTTTGCAGGAATCTCCAGGAGCACTTCTTCAGCACCTGTGGGGACAGAGGGCCATGGCAGTGGAATACCCAGCTCCTCCAGCTGTCCCAGGGCAACCTCAACCACCCCCTTCCTGYCCAGAAGCCCTGTCCTTGGCTCCTCTGGGCCAGTGGCCCCTGTGACCAGTGGCCCAGCACCCCCATCCCACATCCCTGGCACTGCCCAATATCCCTGGCCAGTCCTACCTTCCTGGCAGAGCAGGGAGCTGTGAGCCTTCTCCACCAGGATCCCSCCAGGCTGTGAGGAAGCAGCACCATGGTCAGTCAGGAGCAGGGACCTGCCTGTCCCCTGGAGCACCCCCGGCTTCATGGCTGGGTGCTCTCCCACTGCCCCAGGGCTGTTTGTGCCCCAATCCCAAATCCACCCCCTTTTCCTGCTCCACAGCCCCTGACCTGCACCAGCAGGGGTTTTATCACAGTGTCCACACGGCCCTGAGCTGGCACCAGGGGCAGCTCGTTGCCACAGGGCTCGCTGGAGCTCAGGGCCTCGGTGCTCACAGTGACGTTCACCTCCCCTGTGGGGACAAACACAGCCATCAGTCCCCAGGGAGCCCCAAAGCCGAGCACAGGCCCCGGGTTTGGGGTTGGAGCTGAGCTGGGGATCCCTGGGAAGGGTGGGACAGAGTGAGGGAGAACTTCCCCACCGCCCTGGGTTTGTTCCTGCCCTCCATGCCCAGCACATGCCACCCTCTC